TCCAAAGGCAAGAGAAACAAAGGCAAAAATGAACTATTGGGACTTGATCAAGATAAAAAAACTTTTGCACAGCAAAGGAAATGGTCAACAAAACCAAAAGACAGTCAATGGAATGAAAGAATATATTTGCCAATGACATATCAGATAAAGGGCTAGTATCTAAAATCTATAAAGAACTTACCAAACTCAACACCCAAAAAACAAACAATCCGATCAAGAAATGGGCAGAAGACATGAACAGGCATTTCTCCAAAGAAGACATACAAATGGCCAACAGACACTTGAAAAAATGCTCTGCATCACTTATCATCAGGCAAATACAAATCAAAACCACAATGAGATACCACCTCACACCAGTGAGAATGGCTAAAATTAACAAGTCAGGAAGGGACAGATGTTGGTGAGGATGCAGAGAAAGGGGAGCCCTGTTACACTGTTGATGGGAATGCAAGCTGATGCAGTTACTCAGGAAAATAATATGGAGGTTCCTCAAAAAGTTGAAAGCTCTACGCTTCCTTATGACCCAGAAATTGCGCTACTAGGCATTTACCCCAAAGATACAAATGTAGTGATCTGAAGGGACACCTGTACCCCAATGTTTATAGCAGCAATGTCCACAATAGCCAAACTATGGAAAGAGCCTAGATGTCCATCTACTGATGAATGGATAAAGAAGATGTGGTGGGCATATACAATGGAGTACTACTAAACCATCAAAACATGAAATCTTGTCATTTGCAATGACATAGATGGAACTAGGGGATATTATGCTTAGCAAAATAAGTCAGTCAGAGAAAGACAATTATCATATGATCTCATATGTGTAATTTAAGAAACAAAACAGAGGATCATAGGGGAAAATAAAGCAAGACAAAATCACAAATAGAGACAAACCATAAGAGACTCTTAATCATAAGAAACAAACTGAGAGTAGCTGGAGGGAGGGCAATGGGGGGGGACAGGGTGACTGGGTGATGGACATTAAGGAGGGCATGTGATGTAACAAGCACTGGGTATTATATAAGACTGATGAATCACTGACCTCTACCTCTGAAACTAACAATACACTCTATGATAATTGAACTTAAATACAAAATTAAAACTAAAAACAAAAACAAGAACACATCCTCCAAACTTGAACCATGCTGATCTCCCTGAAGTACATCCCCTGAATCCCAGCAACCAGTCCTAGGCATAGGGCATTCCCTATGGAGTTCCTTTCTGTTCCCTCCATCCCAACTCCATCCATGCCCCAGACCCCCGGCTCTGGTCCCACCTGCACACAGCCTTGACCAGTGTTACCAGTGCTGCCAGATACTCCTTCTCCCAGACCTGTGAGCAGCTCTGCCCTCTGCCTGCAACTGTCTTTCTGGGACTCTCTGCCTAACCAGCTCTTCCCCACCCTCTGGTTCTCAGTGTCTCCTCCTTGGGCAGACCATCCATTCATCCATTTCCTCTAAAGACCCTTTCCTATATTTAATCTAGTCTAACATGGCACTCTGCTACTCTCCTTTATGGCCCTTAACACAATCTGTAATGTCTGTTTTCTTGTTTATGATTTCTCTTCTCAATTACACATAGACCCCATGAGAAAATTTTCTGCCTTGTTCTCTGAAATATCCACAATGCCTAGTTCACAGGTTATTTAGCAAGTATATATATTAATATTTTAAATATTTCTTTTTGAATTCTAGAATCTTTCTTGTTTTCAAATACTATACCCCCAAAAAGGCATGCATTTCTTAACAGATCCAGAGACAGTAATCACAAATTAAAAGTATTTTCTCTGTATTTCAATAGTTTCTTTGAGTTACTGAGAGAGTAATCCAATGAATTCTCCCTTTGATAACTTTGGCCTCAAAGCATAAGAATTCTTGCTTTATTTTCCATAAACTGTATAAATTGAGAACATTCTTTAGTAAAAAATAGTAATAATAATAGTTTCAGAGATTATTTTCTTTTGTCACACTTCTTGAATCCTCAAATATCTGATTTCATTCTCAAGGTTCTGTTTTCTTATCGGGTCAAACTCAAAATACAGTAGAGTGACCAGGACCTCTGTGGTGTTCTTAATTACTATACTCCAAATTTCTTAAATATTTGTGAATTCATTATAGTGAAACTTTCACAAATTCTATTTTGCATAATATTGCTAAATCCATATGTTTATTTTTCTAAATTCATCCTCCCTGTACTTTTTACTACTTCTTTTAAGAGGCAAAGTACTTTATGAACATTATTTTATGGATAAATGTTTATAAAGAAATGACTTGCCTTCTTTTTGAAGGGATCTCACAGCTACTTTTTTTAAAAAGATTTTATTTACTTATTTTGAGAGAAAGAGAGAGAGAGCATGAGCGGGGAGGAGGGGCAGAGGGAGAGGGAGAGAGTCTGGTTAGCAGACTCTGCTGAACATCAAGCGCCACACGGGGTTTGATCTTATGACCTTGAGACCATGACTCAAGCCAAAGCCAACAGTTAGCCGCTCAACCCATTGAGTCACTCAAGTGGCCCCAGGGATTTCCCTAACTCTTAACACATTTCATGTCTGCCCAGCTAGCAGCTCATGCTTGACACTAGTTTTTGTTCCTCCTTATCAACTTTATCTTCCTGGTTAGAACAAATGAGATTTGAAGATGCTTGGTGACAATGATAATGTCATATTGATGGGACTTTCACCTTATCTCACATGGTGGCTAAATACTTAATAAATACTTACTTAGAAATAAACTTGTCTTAACCCCCTGTGTTCTGGTGTTTACATGTCAAAAGATATAAAAGAAGCTGTTCATGGGATTAAAAATAGGTGATATTATAAAAATAATTTAAAAATACATAGAGAGATAGATAGTGTTGGCTTAAAGAGGAAGTTTGACCTCAAGTTTAGACAAGATCTTTGCAACACACAGCTTGATGGGCTAGTACCAGTAAATCATTATTTCGTCATCTCTGAAAAGCAGGAGTAGTCACGGAAACAAGTGAAAAGTTCAGTCTTAAACGATTGGCATCTTATGACCGGACTTTTTCTTAGAAGGTAAATGCATTTACCCCATGCTTTTAATCTAGATGAAATAATCACTTACCAAAAGAAAATGTCATCTAATTTTTAGTGGTTTCTATCATTTTTGTTTTCTGGTTAACTTTATTTAGGGAGAGAAGGGTTGTATTTGAGTGGCTGTATGTAACTGGTGGATTTTATGGCAATCAGTAAGAGTCTCCAGTAATGGACAAAACGTGAAAAAGTATATATAGCACTGTTTCTATTTTAATTTATGCTCTGTCAAACGTTTGGGGTGTTGTTTTCAAGTGGCAATGTGTTTCCTGTTTTTCTTGGCCTGAATCCGTGAGTATTTATTTCCCTGCGGCACTGCGTGATGGTTTTGTCTTTCAGGGTGGGGTGACCCAAAATTTTTTAAAGGTGGCTATAGCAGCATTTCTTTAGGACAGTTGTAAATTCAGAGCCATTTATGTGAAGGTTAAGATTTTACAGAAAGCTATGATCCTCTCATCTTCCACCTCCCCAGTAGTGAAGCCTAGTATAAATTCATAGGATAAGATCATGCTCTTTTTAGGTCAAACACATATTTCAATATTTAAAAAATACTCTATAAATATTTCATGGCACTCTACAAAGAGCACTGTTGGCTTTTAAATTAGAAAAAGAGCAAAAAGTGCTAGAAAAATTGCTACCACTGATGATTCTGCTACAGATGGTGAGCTTCCTATTCTTGTGTCTCAGAATTCTCACCAGATTTCCCTGTCATCATTTTATCCTAGATTATGTTATTTGATTTATTCTTTTTTTCTTTTTAAAGATTTTATTTATTTATTCATGAGAGACACACACACACACAGAGGCACAGACACAGGCAGAGGGAGAAGCAGGCTCCATGCAGGGAGCCTGACATGGGACTCGATCCCTGGTCTCCAGGATCACACCCTGGGCTGAAGGCGGCGCTAAACCACTAAGCTACCTGGGCTGCCCCTATTTGATCGATTTTAAGGCACTTAACGTCACTGTTGCTGTTGTAACTGGTACATGGCAATGAGATATCCTTCTCCTGACCCTCCACATGTCTAGGACTCAGAAATTGATACATTTTTGAAAGCTGAACAATTAAACACAAATAATAGATGGCATTTATTGTCTAAATAAACTACCTTGAAATACAGCAGGTATTGGAAGAGCCAAAAATTCTTGTCATGGGCATGCCTAAATATGAAATGAAACTGTGGTTTCCTAAAATTGTTTTATTATTTTATTAAATAAAAGTGGAAACAATTTTCATCAACAAAGAAACCAGTTAAGCAAGCTACAGTACATAGCTGTAACAGAAAGACTTATCACCACTTAAAATGCTTGTAGAAAGTTTTGGGTGACATGGAAGGAATGTTTATGATAAAATAAAAAACAGTAAAAACAACAAAAAAGGAGATATGAAGTCTCAACTAGCTTTTAGGAAATGCATGGAAATATAACTAAAAAGAAATGCGCTATAATATTAACAACAGGTAGTAGGATTTTGAGTGATCTTACTCTACTTTATACTTTTCTAGTACAAGGAAATAAAAGGGAAAATACAGAAAGCTTAACATAAGATGTAGAACCATAGCCTACATACTGACATACTTGAAAAGACAATATAGTACATTGAACAGAATAAAAATTCTGATATACCCTAGAGGAAGGACCTTGATGAGAAAATGAGTCAAGACTTAGTCAGCACTGCCAGGGAGGACTGAGGCCTCTATGACATTCAATATTAAAATCATCCATTCATTTTCTCCCGTACTTAGTTCAATTCCATATTTTCTAAGCAAAACTGGTTTTAACTGTCTTTCTCACATGTTCTGATAGAATGTACTGGTAACACCAACATGTTCCTTATGTCATTTCAGTTTATACATCAGTCTCCTGTGAGTTAGTTCTGGGCCAATCAGTCAATTCTTGGTGCCCTGCTGAGACCACATTTCTGGAGGGGCAAAGCAGAGGACTGGCTGTTGAGGTATGATAACCACAACATGTATAAAGCCCCCGACCACTGACCTCACTAGAACACCCAGCTTAACTAGCCTCTCCCTCTCACTGATACTGCTCTGATGTTAAAATCACAGCCTCAGAGTTCACCCCCTCCGCCACACTTCCTTTCTAGGCTTTCTAAGAGGAACACTTTTTATTCTCAGGAAGACGACATGGGAGGAGGGGGCTCCAGACCTGAACCCGACGATGGTAAGTCCAGGACAGAAACCGTTACCTGCCTCACTGCTAAGGCAACATGGACTGGAATAACCAGTAAGTGTGCCACGGAGCTGTAATGGGACCGCACTGTGAGTTAGAGGAATTAAACCGTACCTAAGGCCAGGAAGGGTGATAAACGGAGCAGGGGGCAACGGTCTGTCCTCCCAGTTTGGGGAAAAGGGGTCTGGGGCTCAGCAAGAGACCCTCCCGTGGCTTCCCTTGCTGCTCCAGCAGCCCGAGGCCACCTTCGGCTGGTTATTGGTGAAGCTGCCCCACAGAGAACGGAACACACTAAAAAGGGCAGCAGTTTCCAAGGCCAAGTTCCCCAAAACTTTGGGAAATGCTAGTTCTGAGTTTCGCTTTTTGTTGTCTGCGGCCTGGCCCCGATACTGTCTGCCTCTGCGAGGGGCCCATCAGATCTTGGGGAGAGCCGCAGGAGGCGCGTTTGGTCGTCAAAGGGGTACATAGGGCTTGAACACTGGGCCCCGCTTTCATCTGGGCAGCAGACTGTGTTTTAGGTCCCGGCTCGTTTTCAAGTTAAGGATCCAGCAGACAAAACGCTGTTCTCCCTTTGCAATGCGGAACCCTCCATGGTTTATCTTCCCTGGCTGCTTGCATAGGGTGGGGTGCCCCGACGCTTCAGCTGGACAGGTCCTGTGATCTGATGCTCTGCGCTCTCCCACAGGCGGATCGAGCCCGAGTCCCACGGTCGCGACGGTCGCCGCTGCCCCCACCGCGCCGCAGCACACCGCGTAAGGGAGTCCCCGCTGCTTCACCTTGCACCGTGCGGCCCTGCAGGCTGTGTTGACCTCCCAGTGATGGGACTTGGGAGGGAGGTCCGGGCGGCGGGGACCAGAAACAGTCAAGGAACTGAATCGGTTTTATCTTTAGAGTGTGTTTCTTAACCTGGAGATCCCTCAAGAGATCCATGAATCCCCTGGGCCGATCGATAAAATTGGCTGTGTGGGGGAGGGGGCTTATGAAGATTTTTTTGAGGGGGATGAGAATCCACAGTTTTCACTGAGGCCTCAAGTAGTTCTGGAATCCAAGAGCCAAAAGCTGAGGGGCAGTGGGTAAAAGTCACCTAAGCAGCAGGAGGGCTATTTCAGGGATGTCCCCACCGTCACCCTCTGGTCTTCAGCAGGGGCCTTTTAAAAGTCCAGCATGTTATCTGCTCCCTCTCTTTGCCCAAACAGCATACAGCATTTGGCCTTCGCCTTTCTTGCTGGGGTCCTGCTGACACTGCTTCTGCTGGCCCTGGTCTTCTTCATTGTAAAATGCTGCAGGAAATGTAAGTGGTCTCCAAGACATGGGACAGCTCTTCTGGCTCCGCCATTGAGAACGGAGTTGGCTCTGAGGGACAGTAAAACCCTGGTAGCTCACCTTGTCCACAGACCAAGGACCTGAACCCCTCACTCCATTCTCTGCCATCCCCATGGTCCACTTTTCCCACCTCCAGCACCCACCCCCTCACCCCAGCCTGCAGAGAGAGAGGCTTCTCATTCCTCCAAACCCCACTGAGACTTGTCCCTCTCTTTCCTTGCATCTGTGGCAGGTCACTCCAGTCCCTGGGCCCTGGATCCTCCCTTAGACCCTCACTCCGGCCATGATCCTCCAGCCAAGGTAAGATGGCCACACTGTTCTGGGACACTGGGCATGTGCACCTCTCATTTCTTTGACCATCTGTGACCACAGCCTCCAAGTGGCTTCTAAAGAGACACCTTCTTCCAAATTGAACTCACTCATTCCCCCTCCTTCCTCTGCAGCTCTCATCCCCGGAGGGAGCACTTACCTATGCTAAAGTAACTTTCAAAATCTCAGAAGAAACGAACAATCACCTGACTGAGAAACATTCTGCGAACTTGGACCCCGTTGTCTATGCTCAAGTCAAAGTGACAGACTCTCCCTACCTTTCCAATGAGGCTTGATATCAGTCCCTCTTCTTCTCAGCTCCATCTTTACACATCACTTTCCCTTTGGACAAACTCCAGACCACGGCCTGGCCAAACTCCAGATGGAGCTGTTTGTGTGATCTGGAAACATTAGCCAGCAGTTTTGAAGACCAAGGGTCAGTCTTTCTCTTGGCCTAAGAGGAGGTTACTGGCCCTCCCATTTTGACCGGCAGCTTGTTATTCCTTTGAGAACTGAGACTGCTCCCTTGTCCCCTTCCAAAGTGTGTGGTACCGAGCTCAGCACACACAAAGTGTTTGCTCAGTGCCACTGACCAACTTGGGGGAAGTCAGCCAAATGGGCAAGTTAGCAAGAATTACAAATAAAAGCAAACCCTCTGCAATGCTGGCTCCTCCCACATTATTTATCTTTCTGGTCCCATCATGTCCAGAGATCCAGAACTCATCCATGGCCAGAAGCCTAACAGAGGTGGCAGTACTCTAGAACAAGCTCAGGATGGATCAGGGCACAGGTCTCAAGCTCTGCATCAGCTAGCTGCATTCTTTTGGTAAGTGTGTTAAGCTTTTAAAGCTTCAAATGCTTCATCTTGAAAATAGAACTAATAACATTCACCTCTTAGTGTCAGAATAAGTGAAATGACATCTTCTTAGGTACTTTTTAATGTTTTTTTTTAATTTGGGAAAGTGAGAGAGAGAGAGAGCTGGGGCAGAGGGAGAGGGAGAAGCAGACCCCCTTGCTGAGCAGGGAGCCGAACCCAGGGCTTCATCCAAGGACCTGAGATCATGACCTGAGCTGAAGGCAGATGCTTAACCAGCTGAGCCACCCAGGCACCCCTCTTTAGGTAATTTGTACATCCCAGGGTTTTATAGAAATATAAGGTCCCTCTTGTGTAAAATGCTACTGAAACGTGCATATCCACCTCCTTGCTATAGCATAGAAGATACACAAAGCAATGTTATATGGGAGCTAAAAATGTAAATGTTAACCCTCCCCAAATCCTAATGGATAATCCCATAGACAGTCCCAGTAAATATACCAATAAGATTGTTTTTCACTCAGTAAGGTTACTCTAAAGTCCCTGTGTAGACAATAAACCAGAAAGCAAATGTAGAAAAATTTATAAAAGAAGCAAATAAAAGAATATAGGAAGGTTAGCTCCAATCACTGCCTAAAAGTACTGTTTTATTAAGCATGGCTCATTAAAATGTGTTCATGGTTTATGAATAAACACATGGGATAGAATAAGATGACTAGAAATAGATATACATGAGGAAATTGACAGTATGATGAAGATGGCATATCCAATCATTTGGGGAAAATTGGTTTATCCATTTTCCAAACTGCCTAAGATGGTGTTTCAACAGGTACGCAGCCATGTGGATGAAAATAAGATCAGATCTACAACTTCCTCCTTAAATCAAAATAGATTTCAGTTAAAAAATTAAACTGTAAAAAAATTATAAAAGTATTAGAAGAGTATATGGGACAACTTTAAAAAATAGAATGGTCAATGCCTTGAATGTATGACCCAAAGTCAATGAACTGGAAAAGATTGATTAACTGGACTTACAAAATACCATTTGAAATGCCAAGCTTGGGAAATATTTGCAAAGCATCTCATAGCCAAAGGACTAATTTTCAGAGCTCCTCTAAGTCAGTAGAGAAAAAATCAGCAACTTAATAGAAAAAAAAATAAAGGACAAAGGTAAGTCTATGTTAGTGACAGAAAAGGAAATATAAATGGCTTTTAAACATATGAGGAGATACTCAAGTTTACTCATAATAAGGGAAATAATTAAGCTACAATTAGATGTTTTTCCATCAATGAGATTAGCAAAAAGTTTGCTAACAGAGGCTCCAGGGTGGTTCAGTCAGTTAAGCATCTGCCTTTGGCTCAGGGGCTCAGGTCGTGATCTCACGTCCTGGGATGGAGCCCTGAAGCCTGGCTCCCTGCTCACCGCGGAGTTTGTTTCTCCCTCGCCCTCTGCCATGCCCCACCACTTGTGCTCTCCCTCTCTCTAAAATGAATAGATAAAAAAGTCTTTAAAAAGTTTGCTAACAAACTACTTGGGCAGGACTGCAGGGAGCCAAGATGCATGTACAACTGCTATGGAAGACAATTTGGCAAGAGCTAACAATGTTTTAAATCCTATTACTGCAAATGCATCCTGTAGAAAGTCACCTGTGTAGCTTAAATTATAATGTTCACCAAAGTGCCTAAAACTTAGTGAGGCTTGTTATACTCTAAGTATATTCCAAGTGCTTGGCATGTGTCCATGGAGGCCTCACAAAACACCAGGAGGTTACAATTTTTACTATTTCCACTTTAGAACAGTAATGTGCCCAAGTTCACACCACTAGTAGGTAGCGGTGCTGGGGCTCATACCCAGGTAGGCGGGCCCCAGAGTTTGCTTATTTGTCCATTAGGCTCAACTCTCTGAAACAATGAAAGATGGAGCAAACCCTCCGTGTCTATCGAGAGGGGACTGGCTAGTGGAGTACAATGTAGCTGCTAAAAAGAAGTAAGCCACTCTATGTTCAAAGAAAAAAAGATCTCCAAGTTATGTTAGACGTAGGGTGCAAGCTACTGAACAGAATTCTGACTGTCCAGTAGAGTATGTGTACGTGTGTGTGCATGCTGCACCCATGTGCACCTGTATTTGTACATATTTAGTCTGAAAGAAAACACCATTAATTGGTCTCAGTGATTGCCCCTGGGAAAGGGAGCTTGATAACTGAGGGACTGAGGGGCAGGGTGGGAGGAGGCATTTTCCCGTACAAGCCTGCTTGCAACTTCTGAAGTTGTTCACTTACCTTGTTGAGGATCTTTAGGGAACGCAATACCTGGTGATCCCATCTGCACCTGAATTCTGAACCAACTGAGAAATAAGAGGACTCAGGAGATAGAGAACAAAGTTCCACCTTTATTACAATGGGAGCATAGCACAGAGGTAGCTACAGAGAAGCGGGGAAAGTCCCCGCCGCCACCCCCACATCAGAACCCGTGGCTCAGCGGCGCCCAGGGGTTGCAGGAGAGATCATGTGAGCCTTGAAAGCTGCACGCAGAGGGTTGAACAAGGAAGAGGAAGTGTATGCCCAGAGTCTGACCCACAAACTCACATCAGACTCACTTCCTCCGATCGGACGTCACTGAGGACTGCTACCTCAGTGGAGTTCAGTCTATGGCAAAGGAAGCAGGAGTGGAGAAAAGCAGCCTCCACAAATCTCTTTTAAAAATACACTGGGTCATATGTTTAAACATTGAGGTAGGGAAATCAAAGTTCAAAGAGACAAATAATATAGCCAATGTCTCCCAGCTAGTAAGTGGCAGAGCAACGTGACACCCAGTCCTGCAACTCCCAATTCCTGGCATCTTATCTGCACAACAGGCGGCCCCACTGGAGCATGCAGAGGGGCAGAGATGTGAGCAAGGGAAAGTGGGGCGACCCGACCCAGAGGGCAAGTTCCTTCTGAGATGGAGCAGCTGCTCCTGACAGCTGGATTTTGGGAAGACAGTGGAAGACTGGGCCCTTCGTGGGAGCCAAAGGGCCAAGGAGAAAGATGGTTTGGGGCCTTTGTCATGTGTAGAGGCCACAGCACAGCAGTATGGCAGCCCCAGGAGGGCAGCAGAGGCTCTTCTGTCCTGGCTGTGGGAAGCTCCTTGGGGAGGCCTCTCTAGCTTTCTCCTGTTCCCAAACTCTGGGCTAACAGCAAACAATACAACCAACCTTGAGGCTACAAGCTACATCAGCTTCCTCGGTGAGAGGGAGGGCTTTTTCAGTGGCTCCTCGAGAAGTGAGCATTGTCCTAGGGCCACCTACTTGGACATGAAATATCACATTAATTGTTCTTCTCTGTTTCCTTGAAGCTTCCTATTTTTAACAGCAGAGTTTTGGGGTTTGTCTCCCCATCGTGAAAATGTATTCACCTAGCTTTACTTACTGGAGGATGAAATGAGTAATTAGATAATTGACCATAGATTTAAAAAGTCTTCACCAGGGAAGGGAAGAGGAAAAGGTGCTAGAACTCCAGTTCATGGAATCAGACCAAACCTGCAGGATGCTCAGGGGAAATGGTTGTCCAGATACATAGGTATAAATCCTCCAAGACAGTTACAGATGTTTTCATGTGTCATGGAAGGTGTTGTTGTCGCTGTTGTTTTTAAGATTTTATTTATTTATCCATGAAAGACACACACACACACAGAGAGAAAAAGACACAAGCAGAGGGAGAAGCAGGCTCCCTGCAGGGAGCTTGATGTTGGACTCGATCCCAGGACCCCAGGATTAGGCCCAAGCCAAAGGAAGACGCTCAACTGCTGAGCCCCCCAGGGGCCTCGTGTCATAGAAGATCTTGCCCTGTGCAGTAGGGTGGCCTAACCCAGCCCAGACTTGGTTGCTATTTGCGGAGTCAGTGGGCTTGCGCTTTGATACATGGCCACAGAGGAGGGACCGGAGTTGTTTTCTGGCTGAGCAAAAAGGCTGCTGAGTAGCTTCAAGTTCCTCACTGAGGGAGGGGTTGGGATGGAAACTGAAGGAACTGTGCCCATGAAAGATGCTGTGAGAGCCTAGACCTAAATGTGCAGAGCAGGTGCAGAATTGTGTCAACAGCCAACCTCCCTGCCCTGGCCCTGCATGAACCCCAGGGCCGCCGAGCATCCTGAGTCCTGAGACTAGCTGACACCCTTGTTACTAGACACAAGAAGACCAGGGATCATTAGGGCAGCAGAGTAGTGATATGCGCCCCTGGGAACTCCCTGACACAGCAGGGGGACTTCACACGGGGAGAGAAGGTGCAGACATGCAGGTTGCAGTTCTGGCATGACTGACAGCACAGCTGCACTTGCACCCACAGCTGCTGATGCTTCCTGATTTGACTGAACATTTCACTCACTATGCCTTGGTTTCTCACTGAGCCAGAGCGGCATCCATTCAGTCCGGGGGCAGTTTCCCATAGAGGACAATCTTTTCATCAAGAAAATCTGAGACCTGCTGGTTTGGCCTACAGCCCTTTCTTTGGGTACGACAGCAAGGCATACCAATGCAGAAATAAATATTGCAATATTATACTTGAAACCTTTGCAGAAATATATTTCCAGTGACATCCCAGGAGAAGTCAGTTGTACCAGGGAGTTCATCCAACACCAATCAGGAATTTATTGGTGAACCAAAAAAACACAAGTGATCCCTCAGACCCCTGACCAAGATTCTGCCCCCTTCTTCTCTTGCTATGGCTGTGCTTACCTAGCTACAAGGGATCGCTGGCAAGTCGCAGGGTCCTTCAGAACACCTGAGAGATCACAAACAGTCCCCACAATGTGGGCAGTGGTCGTCATGGTGACTTTATGGTAGCATCACTTAATTTATAAACTAAATAAAAGAAATCTTCAGTCACATCTGTTCAGGATAAGCCACTTCCTTTGGAGTCAGGACACATGAGGAGGACTTCAATGAGTTGCCTAATTTGTGGGCAACAGAAAAAAGGAAATCGAGTCAAGATCTGTTGCCCACCTCAGCTGTGTCTTTCTGGCAGTAAAAGTTGCAAACTCTCTCATGGTAGCTTTATGGGGACTAAACAGCACAGTTTGTTCTCAGGGCAGGAATTGGCTGTCATTATTTGACTGCTCATGGCTCAGTCAGTAGGGAAGTATGGCATATGGAGCTTGCATTTACCTCTCACCAAGCTTTGGTAATATAATGCAACTGGACCCCTGCAGAACACGGGAAGGTCAAAGCCAGAAGGGTCTTTGATTCCAGCTGCCATGTTTCGATTGCCTGGGTGTGAAGAAGCAGGCAAAACAAGCCATACAACCCTGTACTCCAAAGGAATAAGCAATCCAACTCAATAGGCAGTTGGATTCCACTGCCTCAACTTCCACAACACCGTGTGCCTCCCCTGTAGAGTACTTACACTAGCTGACAATTTTTCTTCTGTGTGATGGTTTGTCTCCCTCCCACCCTATATTATAAATGCCAGGAAGATAGATGCTACTTCTTTTGCTTGTCTTTGTATCCCTAGCATCTAGCATGGTCCTTGTGCTTTGAAAGAACAAATGAATGTGTGAATAAAAGCTCCTGAGGAGTATGAGGATAGGGTCCTCAATCTATAGAAGAGAAAACAGGCTTAGAGAAGTGAAAAGTTACCACAAGATCATGCCTTAAATAAGTGACAATGGTTTTTGCAAAAACCTACATTACAGTTGTGTCCCAAAGGGAGTTGCCTTGGGCACAGTTGAGAAAGATGCTGCTTCACCTATGTTCTCCACCTCCAGTGGTTCCCAAAGCTCTCAGAGGACAAAAGGGAGCCGAAACTTTTATTTCTTAGGGCTCCTGCTCTCCCATGGGGCCAAATGATCACAGGGAGAGTATGAGACCTTGAAGTCTTAGTTTTGAATTCCAGATTCTTCCAGCTTTGCCCTGTGTTTCAGTACCAGGTGCTTCCAGGTGCATGTGTGTGTGCATGTTTTCTCTCACTCTCTTTGCTTTTCTGCCCTTCCAAACCCAGAGGAGGGGGGAGTCTGCTCCTAACTATGCCTACAGTCTCTCTGTCTGTGGCTTCTGAGCATAAAAAGCCCTACTGGCCAAACAGTGGTGCTTGAACATGATATTCTTTCTACCCTGTGTCCTCTTGAGAGGTTAGCAGAACCAACACACGGTGGTCTTGAGGATTTTGGTTTCTCTGATGCTGCCCCAAAGGAAAGGTGAACAAAAAATAAAAGAAAAGAAAAAAAAAGAAATAAAGAAAGGTGGGAAGATTCACATAGTGCCTGCTGAACAAACTTCCTGTTCTCTATTTAGGAAGGGTGATCCCTAAAGATCAGGTAACCATGGGGCCCGGGACCCAGGAAGAGCCAAGGAGGGAATTTACCAGAGGTGTAGGGATCACAGAAGAAGCTTGCCTGGTTTTCTGGCTTCTAACTAGGCCTTTACCTGTAATCACCCAAGGGCAGAAGGACACCCAAAGCTTAAGGGCTCTTTCTCCAGTGGCTGAAGACCCAGGTTGAGGCCCATGGGCCTGTTCTCTTCTACTCCTGGCCCTTTTGAAGGACACTCTTCCATGTCTGCTTATCCAAGGGTCCCAGAGGTCCTTTGACAGTCCCTCCAGATAAACAAAAAGTTCCAAGCAAAGAGTAAGTCTGCCTCCTAAAGCTTGTGTGCTAGGGAGGCAGGTGGCCCTCCACACACCGAGGCCTGTGGTGTGGTTGTCTCAAGGCCTCCCTCCTCCCTAGTCTACACACACCCCCCTTTCCAAAGCTACTATGCCCTCTCTGTCACCTCTCATGGGGCTTTGGTCACCATAGAGCAGAATCTCCCCCAACCCATGGGCTGGCTACACTGGGCTCCATGGGTCCAGGAAACAAGAAGAGGATCACAATCACTCATTTGAAGGCTACTCCTTGGCCCCTTTCATTTTCCCTAATCCCCACCCTGCAATGGCTACTGACCTCTTCTATTCCTTTGACTTCTCCTCCTTTTGGACAAATGGCTAATAATTGAGATGATCCCCAAACCTGTGATCAGCATGCAGATGATGAGAATGGACATCCTGGAAGGAGTCACAGACAGACTTCATGTGGCTCAAAAGAAGGCACCTTTTGATTCTTGGCTCAGGATCCCCTTTCCTGGAACCCACCCCACTTCTGGCTCCCACCCAGTTCCAGTAGCTCCTGGCCACCGTGTGCCTTCTGAGTGCTTCTGCCCTCCAGCCCAGGTCCAGTCAGGCTTGGGGGCTGATCGGGGACCAAGCATCTTCCCCAGAGACTAACACAGACTTGGAGCAGGAAGATCCAGTGCTCAGACTGGCTGGTCTCTTGAATAGGGGGACACATAAACTTAGGAGCTAGAAATAGCCAAAATGAAACAGAAAGGGGCTGTGCCTAGAGAGAGGAAAGCAAGCACACATAAGAGCAGAAGATCAGAGACTGAAGAAAATCCCAAAGACAATCGGGACCATTTCTGAAGGCGCCATGTCCTGCCTTCCATGTGTGAGACACTGCTCTCTCCTTAGGACCGATCTTCCTTTTTAACTGAAATACTGAGAGGGAATTTTTTGCTGCTTGCATCCAAGAGTCCTAAACTACATTCTTCTGAAAGAAGCCACATGGTCACATTGAAGATCCGCAGTTCAGGTGGAGAAGCAACAAAGCTGGAAAGTAGCAGGTGCAAATCAACTGCCCTGCTGTGACACCTTTGCCCGCCTCACCCACCAAAGCTGGAGCAATCGGCCTTGTGGATCACTCTGGAAGCCCTGCAGCTTTGGTCCTGTTGCCTAAGTCTGCATCAGAAAGGATTTGCTGTGGATCAAGTGAGGCTGGTGCTCAGGCCTGCCCTTGCCTCTGCATCTCTGCGTCTCTGGCTGTCTTTTGTTCAACCCATAGAGGATGAGAGTCCTGGACACATGCTAGGCCAAGGGGAGGCACCAGGCACAGCTGGTGGGTGGAGGGAACAAGTCGGGGCTGCAATCCAGCCCACACTCTGCCGGCCAAGCCATACACCCTGTCACTGGGCTCTGTGCCCCTGAAAGAAGGACCGCTTTTCCAGATTTGCACAAAAGTCCTGTGTGGACTAGAAGTGGCCCATGGTTAGATAATCCCAGGCTGAAGACTATGGGAAGGGGTACCAGGGACACAAGAGGGCCAGTCCAATCCTTAAGGAACTGATAGGTGACATCATTGCCACACTGTACTCATGACAGCCACCAAAACCCAGTGGAAAAGTTCAGCCATGGCCACCCACATGGGCCTTCTCTGGCAAATCTAGTTGGTGAGGGTGGTGGTGGTGGGGGTCTGAGTTTCACTTAAACTAAGGAGCACATTTAGGTGAGACTTCTTTCATCCTGAGCCTGAAACCATACTAGGTGTGAAGGACATCACACATTGAAAAAGCTGCTTGCTAAACAAATTACTGGTCAAGTGTGAATAAGGATCTCTTTCTAGCACCAGGAGGCTCCGTATAGTAGCTTCCCTTAAGTTCTTGCTTTGTTTTCCTACTGGCATTGTGCTCTGGATTATGAGAGAAAGAAATCCCTTACAGCAAAAACAATCCTGAGGGGGAAATACATAACAATACAAGCATTCATCCAAAAACTGGAAAGATCTCAAATACAAAAGCCAACCTTGCACCTAAAGGTGCTGGAGAGGGGATCCCTAGGTGGCGCAGCGGTTTGGCGCCTGCCTTTGGCCCAGGGCGCGACCTGGAGACCGGGATCGAATCCCACATCGGGCTCCCGGTGCATGGAGCCTGCTTCTCCCTCTGCCTGTGTCTCTGCCTCTCTCTCTCTGTGTGTGACTATCATAAATAAATAAAAATAAAAAAAAATAAAGGTGCTGGAGATAAAACAGCAAAGAGATCCTACACCCAGCAGAAGAAGAGAATTAATAAAGATTCAAGCAGAACTCCATGAAATAGAGACCAGAAGAACTGGAACAGATCAACAAAACCAGGAGTTGGTTCTTTGAAACAATTAATAAGATAGATAAACCATTAGCCAGCCTTATTAAAAAGAAGAGAGAGAAGACTCAAATTAACAAAATCATGAATGATAAAGGAGAGATCACTACCAACACCAAGGAAATACAAACGATTTTAAAAACTTATTATGAGCAGCTATATGCCAATAAATTAGGCAATCTAGAAGAAATGGATGCATTTCTGGAAAACCACAAACTACCAAAACTGGAACAGGAAGAAATAGAAAACCTGAACAGGCCAATAACCAGGGAGGAAATTGAAGCAGTCATCAAAAACCTCCCAAGACACAAAACTCCAGGGCCAGATGGCTTCCCAGGGGAATTCTATGAAACTTTTAAAGAAGAAATCATACCTATTCTACTAAAGCTGTTCAGAATGATAGAAAGAGATGGAGTACTTACAAACTTGTTTTATGAGGCCAGCATCACCTTAATTCCAAAACCAGACAAAGACCCCACCAAAAAGGAGAATTACAGACCAATATCCCTGATGAACACATATGCAAAAATTCTCAACAATACTAGCCAAAAGGATACAACAATACATTAAGATTATTCACCATGACCAAGTGGCATTTATCCCTGGGATGCAAGGCTGGTTCAACACTCGTAAAACAATCAATGTGATTCATCATATCAGCAAGAGAAAAACCAAGAACCATATGATCCTCTCAATAGATGCAGAGAAAGCATTTGACAAAATACAGCATCCATTCCTGATCAAAACTCTTCAGAGTGTAGGGATAGAGGGAACGTTCCTCAGCATCTTAAAAGCCATCTACGAAAAGCCTACAACAAATATTGTTCTCAATGGGGAAGCACTGGGAGCCTTTCCCCTAAGATCAGGAACAAGACAGGGATGTCCACTCTCACCACTGCTATTCAACATAGTATTGGAAGTCCTAGCCTCAGCAATCAGACAACAAAAAGACACTAAAGGCATTTGAATTGGCAAAGAAGAAGTCAAACTCTCCCTATTCACCGATGACATGATACTCTACATAGAAAATCCAAAACCTTCCACCCCAAGATTGCTAGAACTCATGCAGCAATTTCACACCGTGGCAGGATTCAAAATCAATACCCAGAAGTCAGTGGCATTTCTATACACTAACAATGAGACTGAAGAAAGAAATTAAGGAGTCAATCCCATTTACAATTGCACCCAAAAGCATAAGATACCTAGGAATAAACCAAACCAAAGAGGTAAAGGATCTATACCCTAAAAACTATAGAACACTTCTGAAAGAAATTGAGGAAGACACAAGAGATGGAAAAATATTCCATGCTCATGGATTGGAAGAATTAATATTGTGAAAATGTCAATGTTACCCAGGGCAATATATACATTTAATGCAATCCCTATCAAAATACCATGGACTTTCTTCAGAGAGTTGGAACAAATCATCTTAAGATTTGTGTGGAATCAGAAAAGACCCCGAACAGCCAGGTGAATATTAAAAAAGAAAACCATAGCTGGGGGCATCACAATGCCAGATTTCAGGTTGTACTACAAAGCTGTGGTCATCAAGACAGTGTGGTACTGGCACAAAAACAGACACATAGATCAATGGAACAGAATAGAGAACCCAGAAGTGGACCCTGAACTTTATGGTCAACTAATATTCGACAAAGCCGGAAAGACGATCCACTGGAAAACAGTCTCTCCAATAAATGGTGCTGGGAAAATTGGACATCCACATGCAAAAGAATGAAACTAGACCACTCTCTTGCCCCATACACAAAGATAAACTCAAAATGGATGAAATATCTAAACATGAGACAAGATTCCATCAAAATCCTAGAGGAGAACACAGGCAACACCCTTTTTGAACTGGGCCACAGTAACTTCTTGCAAGATTCATCCATGAAGGCAAGAGAAACAAAAGAAAAATGAACTATTGGGACTTCATCAAGATAAGAAGCTTCTGCACAGCAAAGGATACAGTCAACAAAACTAAAAGACAACCTACAGAATGGGAGAAGATATTTGCAAATGACGTATCAGATAAAGGGCTACTATCCAAGATCTATAAAGAACTTATTAAACTCAACACCAAAGAAACAAACAATCTAATCATGAAATGGGCAAAGGACATGAAGAGAAATCTCACAGAGGAAGACATAGACATGGTCAACATGCACATGAGAAAATGCTCTGCATCACTTGCCGTCAGGGAAATACAAATCAAAACCACAATGAGATACCACCTCACACCTGTGAGAATGGGGAAAATTAACAAGGCAGGAAACCACAAATGTTGGAGAGGATGTGGAGAAAAGGGAACCCTCTTGCACTGTTGGTGGGAATGTGAACTGGTGCAGCCACTCTGGAAAACTGTGTGGAGGTTCCTCAAAGAGTTAAAAATAGACCTGCCCTATGACCCAGCAATTGCACTGTTAGGGATTTACCCCAAAGATTCAGATGCAATGAAACGCCGGGACACCTGCACCCCGATGTCTCTAGCAGCCATGTCCACAATAGCCAAACTGTGGAAGGAGCCTCGGTGTCCATCGAAAGATGAATGGATAAAGAAGATGTGGTCTATGTATACAATGGAATATTCCTCAGCCATTAGAAGCGACAAATACCCACCATTTGCTTCGAAGTGGATGGACCTGGAGGGTATTATGCTGAGTGAAATGAGTCAGTTGGAGAAGGACAAACATTATATGGTCTCGTTCATTTGGGGAATATAAAAATTAGTGAAAGGGAATAAAGGGAAAGGAGAGAAAATGAGTGAAAATATCAGTGAGGGTGACTAAACATGAGAGACACCTAACTCCAGGAAATGAACAAGGGGTAGTGGAAGGGGAGGTGGGCAGGGGGTTGGGATGGCTGGGTGATGGGCACTGGGGGGGGGCACTTGGCACGATGAACACTGGGTGTTATGCTATATGTTGGCAAATTGAACTCCAATAAAAAAAAATTTAAAAAAAGAAAGACATCTCTTCTAGAAATGGAAATAACTGAGAAGCCACAGAAGGAAAAAAGAAAAAGGCTAGTGCTTTCCATAAGCTCTTTGCCTGAGACAGAGGCTTTCTGATGCGAAAAGGAGGATTTCAGCATTTGCCAGCAGAATTTTGGAGCAGTCAACTGGGTTAAGCAGACCTCCCCCTCCAGGCTCCAGGCCAACCTACACCCAACCCAGCCCCCTCCTGGTGTGAACTGCCCTCCTGACCATTTTGGCCATGATCTTCATCCCAGTTTCTGAGGGTGCTCATCCAGGCACCCAGGTCATTTTTTATAGCCTCGCTCACCTCTTAAGGAAGGGATCTTCAAGACTCTAGACCTACAATCCTGGCTATGGAGCACAGACGTGTAATGACAACCTCAGAGCCTTTCCTGGCCAGCAGAACAGAGCCCTCCCACCTGTCAGCCACCATGAGCCTCTCCCAAATCCCATGGGCCAGATTGCTGGGAAGGAAGGGAAGTTCCAAGAGTAACCTGGAGCCCACACACTGTTCTCTTCCCCCAATTCCAAATTAATCCCCAGCACCATTAGCAACCACCAGGCTTCGGAGGGAAGTAGAGACCAGGTTACCCCAGAGAACCTAGCGGGAACCTGACTTGGTACTCACTGGCCTCAGTGAGTATTTACCACACCAATGCACAGGTTGCCCCTGAATAGACCCCTGGCCGGCTCTTTACCTTTCCCAGACCAAAAATCACTGGCGAGGCCTCCTCTGTTGTCAGTCACAACCAGCTCTGTAAAATCCATGCCATCCCTGTCAAAGTCCCATTGGATGCCACACCAGTACCAGCCCATATCCTCCTTGGTCAGGCAGGACACAGTGATGATGAACTGGCTTCCTGCGTCCCTCAGGACCACGTGGTCGGTACTATGGGTGTGAATGCCATATGGAGCCATAGTCCCGAAAGTAGCCTCGGTACCAGTATTTGCGATGGTCCTTATAGTGGGCATTGTAGTTGCAGGTAGCAGAAGCTGTGTCCAGCACAAAGCTTTCCTTGACCTTCTTGTCCATAACCATGGCATCTGTTAAAATAGACATGGGCATGTGTGCATGTGTATACACACACACACATACACACACACACACACACACACACACACACCATCGTTCTTTTAAACATGTTACAGCTCTTGTCATCCAGTAGAAAAGTTGGTTAAAGCACAGGGAAGCTGAATTTTCATTTTCTTGTTTTGGGTTACTGACTATGAGGGGCCAAATTCATATGTTCAAGTGTTAACCTCCAGTACCTCAGAATGTGACTGCATTTGGGGATTGAGACTTTAAAGAGGTAATTAGTTTACAATAAGGTCATTAGAAAGGGCCCAATGCAACTTGAGTGGTGTCCTTATGAAAAAGGAGTCTATGATATGGAGGACAGGCCAAACGACAAGTCATGTCTCATGTCTCTCAAGCCAACCAGTCTGTGCAGTTCGTTATAGCAGGCCGAGCCAGCAACTTCCACAGCCCTGGCCTGAGGGATACCCTTCTTCAAGGACAGAGGTGGCCTCTCACCCCTGCCCCTGGCCCCCTACTCCACTCTGGTCCTCTCAAAAAGTAAGTGACAAGGTTTGAAGGCTTCTGCTGGCTGCAGAGGGCTAAGAACAGAGGGAGCCAGCTTCTGTTCTTAGGAGCAAGGAACTTCCCATTTCCTCCATGCAACCCCTGCAGGGGTAGCGCCATCATCTCCGGATATTGCGTAGGGAGGAAGTCGTGGACGCCACGTCCCGCTCGACCATGGCTGGGGAAGTATCTGGACAAGGAGAAGATGTGGGCAGCAGGCCCCTCTGTCTCTCAGCCTTCCAGAGGTGTGCCAGGTCCCCGCAAATGCTGCCTCGGACCAGCCTGCACGGCATGCTCGCATATCCCTTGTGTGAATTGATATGACTTGATTTTTTGTTCTCCCAGCAAGCATTTCTAGAATTACCAGGACTTGAACCTAATCTTAAGAATTCAAAAGTCTTCATGCTACCAGATTCACACCACACAAGGAAGATGGGTTAATGCTCAGTCTGCAGGCCTGGACCCTGACCTAGGGAGAGGACAGCAGCAAGAAAGGTCAGCAGGCCAGAGGGCAGCAGAGGCCCCAGGCCAGCCACCCCCACCTCCCAGCTCAGGTCTCACCCTGGGCTCAGGCATAGGCAGGCAGCAGGAATTCCCAGCCTTGTCCCTCTGCACAAACACTTTTCTGGGGAGAAGGAGGAGGGAAGGGGAACTTCTGCTGAGAGAGTACAGAGCCCACATTTTTAGCTGAGGCTTTCAGATTCCTTCCAGCCCCCTTCCATTCCCCTTTCATCCCCTCCCTGCCACAGCTCACTTATCAGAGCTAAGAACAAGGATGAGTCCAGACAGGATTTTTCTCCTTCTTTTTTCCTATCCCACTCCTTCAGTGGTTCAGGCTATGGAGCAGCCACTCCAAGCAGCAAAGAAGGGAATGCAAAGTGTTTGGGAAGTTTGGAGGCTGGAGATGCTTCCTCTCTGTATTTTACCTGAAAAGGCAATCAGGAAGAGCAGAACGAAGAACCCCATGACTGGAAGGAAGTGAACAACCTTCAACTGGAATGACAGGCTATGCCCAGAGGTCTCAGGAATCCTGGATCTGTTTAAGGGAAACCAGATCTTTGAGCCTCAGCTGGTTTTATCCTGTTTGAAGAGACCAGGGCAAAGGGAACAACCAGTCAATCCAAGCAGTGCTGCCATGTGTAGCTATCCAGGTAGTGCACTGCACAAGGGTACCTCATCAGGGGGATGCCATTCGTGGAAATAAACTTACTTATGTAATAATGTGGGCAACTGAAAAAAAGTGTGGGCTTCCTGGCACTCCCAAAACAGCGGTGGAGATTCCCCTCCTGGATAAATACACCCTGGTGCAACAAAGCCTTGTACCCAATTAGCAGAACACAAGCATACATGCCAGCGTGGGCCCACATTCAAGTGTGGGACTGTACCCTGTCCTGCCAATGCACTGGGTATCGCCAGAGGGCACATCCACCACTCTTGGAGGCCCAGTTCTCTTTTAGCTGAGGGGAAGACTAATGAGGAGATTGCTAACTTCCCTGACTCCCAAGTGGACGCTGAAGCCTCATCCAGGGAGTGGGGTTGGGCAAAGCTGTTAAAAGCAGATACACCTGGCATCAGGAGCATGGAGTGGCGTCCACGTGGTATTTTGGTGTTGGCAGCCAGGGCTGCTGCTTCCAGACCTCCTGAGAGTTTCCTGGGCAGAGCCGGGACAAGTCAAGGAGATGTCAATGCAATGATAAAAGCTTCTCTTGGTTCCTATTGGGACTCATGGCCTGACTGCTGATTTTTAAAGTTTGAATTACAGAAGAATTTAAGCTGAACACTACTTCTCACACCCTAAAGCTAGCCCTTCCCATCAAGGGCCGGATGGGGATGAGTGTCTGATCCGGGTCGTTCAGTAATATCCTCTCCTGAGGGAGAGGGCCTTTCTCTCCTTCCCACGCAGTCAGCGTGTGGGCCTGCTTCAGGTGTGTGTTTTACCTGCACCATGATAAAGGTGCCTTATTTACTCCTCATCAAACCTCTGTGAGTTCCATCAATAAACCGCAAAGTGGAAAAAAAGTCAGGGAGGTGGGTGGTGGTAAGGAAAGAAGGAGGAATCTATAGATTAAAAGAGGCTTAAGAGAGGTAATGACAAACTGCCATCTATAGAACTTATTTGGATCCTGACTGAAGGTCTAGATAATGGGGAGATAGTTGATGATGTCAAGAAATTATTGTTTTTTTTCAGATGGGATAATAACATTGTCAAAAATCAGCCTCTAAAAAAAAAAAATCAGCCTCTAAGGGGCACCTGGATGGCTCAGTTGGTTAAGGGTCTGGCTCTTGGGTTTGGCTCAGGCTGTGATCTCAGAGTGGTGAGATCAAACCGCATGTTGGGCTCCATGCTCAGTGTGGAGTCTGATGAAGATTCTTTCTTCCTCCCTCTCCCCACCCTGTGCATGCACATGCATGCGCGTGCCCATGCACACGGTCTCTCTCCTTCTAAAATAATTTTTAAAGATTAAGTCTTCTTAAAAAATCTGGTTGGGGAGCCTGGGTGGCTCAGTGGTTTAGCACTGCCTTCAGCCCGGGGCATGATCCTGGAGACCCAGGATCGAGTCCCACGGAGCCTGCTTCCCCCTCTGCCTGTGTCTCTGCCTCTCTCTCTCTCTCCGTGTCTCTCATGAATAAATAAATAAAATCTTTAAAAAAAATAAAAATAAAATTTAAAAACCTGGAGGAATTGAGTTCCTTTTAAAAAAAAACAAATAAAATAACTTAAAATAACTAGCCTCTAAGATGGTTCCTGGCACTCTTGCTGTTGTTTAGTCCCCTCCTAAACTGAATCAGGGCTAGCCTGTGTGATCAAGAAAATCAATAAAAATTGGGGCACCTGGGTGGCCCAGTTGGTTGGGTGTCTAACTCCAGTCATGGTCTCAGGGTGCTGGGATCCAGCTCTATGTCAGGTCTCTGCTCGGTGCGGAGTCTACTTGTCTCTCTCCCTCCCCACAGCTTGTGCTTGCTCACCCATGCTCTCAAATAAATAAATAAAATCTTTTAAAAAAGAAAATAAAAATTGCATAGCAACTGATAATTCATATTGACTAGATATCATATAGAATTGATAATTCATATAGAAATTCATCATTGAGTCCTTATCTCTGAGAAAGCTGCATGCAAAAAGAACACTAGGAATGGCTCAGAGATATTGCCATGAAACCAAGGAAAGGAGGCCCCTGGGTGGCTCAGTGGTTAAGCATCTGCCTTTGGCTTAGGGTGTGATCCTAGGATTCTGGGATCAAGTCCCACATTGGGGTCCCCTCAGGGAGCCTGCTTCCCCCTCTGCCTGTGTCTCTGCCTCTCTCTCTGTGTCTCTCATGAATAAATAAATAAAATCTAAAAAAAAAAAAAGAAAGAAAAAGAAAGAAACCAAAGAAAAGTAGCAACAGGAGAAGTGGGTTGGGCATAGATATCAGTAAAGTTCCCAAGACAAGAAAAGGTTGCATTTGAAAGCAAAGGAGAGGCTCAGAGTTTTAGAAAATGAACCATGTGTCTATTCTCATTCTGAGTATTAGTTGATGCTCCTTAGTTCTGTTGCTGCCTTGTAAGGATAAAATTAATTTTTGTTTCTCAGATGTGTAACTTAAGAAGATAAGTGGGTAATAAGAACAAGCCAATTGATCATTTAAAAAAATTATATATATGTATTTTAGATTTCATCTATTTATTCATGAGAGACACAGAAAGAGGCAGAGACCCAGGCAGAGGGAGAAGCAGGCTCTCTGCGGGGACATCAATATGGGACTCGATCCCCGGACCCGGAGTCATGTCCGGGCCAAAGGCAGACGCTCAACCACCGAGCCACCCAGGCCCCCCCTCAAATACTTTTCATAAATAAAAACCAAAATGTTTGCAGATGAAATAATTTGATGTCCAAAATTTCAAGATAATCAGGGTGGGGTGAGTGGATAGAGACATAAATGGAACAACACTGGATGATCAACATTGGTTGATCATTATTAAAGCAGAATCATCAATATCTGAGAGGTTATTATGCTGGCCTCTTCACTTTTGTGTGCCTCAAGTTTTCCATAATAAAAAGTAAAAAACAAAACAAAACTCTGACAGGAATGACAAGGTTCAGTTTTAGGAGACTGCCCGAGTTCACACAGCTAGTACAGCCACCATGATCTGATGCTAAATCTGAGAGGGGGAGAAAAATTCTTTCCAGCATACTCTTCCTTCCCCAATAGTAATAACACAGCAGAAGCATAGACTACAAGGGGACATACAACATGTCATCTGAGCAATTGTGGCAACAGGCAGCCTGTTTCCCCATTTGCAGCATATCCAGGAAGGCATCTAAGGGCAGAGTGTCTCTAAAAAAGGAGCACCTGGTTGTAAGACTGAATTTACCCACAGACAATGGCCAGACCATATATAAAACTAGACCTCTGGACAGAACATCTGGCCCAGGAAACCAGCATTTTATCTGTAGTAACTGGACAGGGAAGCCAGCCTGTTAAAAGTCAGTTTTGTAGAAAGTCAGACCATAATCTCTAGCAGAAGTCCAGAACACCAAAAGATAATCCCTGTGACAACCCCAGATGGCTAGTAGTAACTGACAGCTTTCCAAATGTTTGTCCTTCTTCCAACTGGGGACCAACCGGAGAAAGCCAAATATGCTCACCTTGCCAATCACACAGGATGCCCCACTTCTCATAGCTTCCCCAGGCCAGTGGCACACCTGAAGCCTCCCTGTTGCCACCAGAGAGCTTGCCTACTCCTCTGCCTGCCTTCAAGTCTCTGCCAAAATGCAAGTGGCAGCGACTGACTCTCTTGCTGTTGCAAACTTGGGGTAGCCTTTGCTTGTTGTCACTTGGTCTTCGCTTATATCCACGGTAGACTTGATTTTAAAAAAAAAATTAGGTACACAAACCCAGCTACTCAACATCTACTGTGGTTCCAGAGAATTCATACAGAGGAGGAGGAAGCAAAACCCAGTTTTGTCTGGGTAGTCTTTTTACCTTATTCCTTTTGGAACAGAGAATCAACAACCACCTTCAAGTGTCCCGTTAAAGGAGGCTAGCAAGAGACAGGCCTGAGGAGGCGCCAGTGATGCTGATCTCTAAACCTGAAACCAGGGTGGAGCTCGCCACTTCTACTGAAGCTCCTCAGCAGTGATTCTTAGTTCATCTTTTTTGAGTCTACTTCAAAAGGCATCCTCACTTTAAGGGCTTTTAGTGGGCTGGTGGACCATCTTAGCCCAGGACATTCCTACTTGACCAAAACAAAATAAAACAAAACATAAAAAACAACCACACTATAACTCCCTGCAAACTATAACTTCCTTGCAGAACTCAGTGGGTTTGCTAAGCAATGGCCTACAAAAAGAAAGAGAAGAAGAGAAAAGGAAAAGAGGGAAAAAAAGCTTTTATTCTGAGACTCAGGGACTATAGCTCATCTTACGATACCAAATGACACAGGTCAGACTGCTGCTTTGCTTGGAAGGAAGCTGTCCCCTTAACCCAAATTTTCTATGTGTTGCTATAGCAACTGCTAGAAATTGTTTGTAAATTATGAAGCTGCCTCTGTTTGGGATTGAAAACTAACGAGCACTTCCCTCAAAGGTCCCAGTGGGCAAAGGTGGCCTCTGTGCAGATGAGTGTACCGGGGTCACCAGAAGCCCCATGGTAAACACAGGGCCTCAACCTGAAGGGGCATTTTAACTAAGCACAAAAATTAATTCTGGGGGATTGAGGAGGGGAAAGCCTGAAATCAAACAAGGGGATGCCATTAAGGGGAAAATTTGTGGTAGTTTTGAGGGCGGCGCTTGGATTTTTAGAGAAGAAAGATCCCCAAATGTTGAAGGGGAGACTGGGGAGATGAATATTGCTTCCCACACCTCCAGCATCACTGGAGGCGGGTCCTAGTCATTTGCCTTTAAGATATTGTGAGAGCTGCGGGCAAATGATCAGGTCAGTGACCAACACAGTTTGGCATTAGTAGGAGAGTAGATGGAAGTGTTTGAATCTCCCAGATAGTGTTCATTCTTCCTGGGCTGGCAGGGAAGAAGTGAGGACATTTACTGAAATGAAACATTAATTAGGTAAATACAGTTATCGACCTCTGGCCTAAGATTGCGGTCAGGATAAACTTTCAGAACCAGCTAAGAATCAATTAAAGGAAAAAAATCTCCAGTACACTTATGCTCTTCGAAGTGGTTTAATTGAAACCCCCATCTTGCTGCTCTCATCAGCTTCATGTACTCATTGTTTGGAGGAGAGTCCACAGCTGCACATTTGAGTAGACCAAACCAGGGATGTCCTCTGACTCTCCAGAGCCACACTCAGTGCTGGAAGGATGTGATTAGGACTCTAGCCCTGACTGATATCCGGATTAATGAGACACCAGTGATAGTACCTGAGGCCTCTGCCCCAATCAGCAGTCCTCAAGCATACAAACCATAGTTTGTATCCATGTATCTGCTGGTTGTACATGAGGTGAACTTGAGAGTTTGGACTTTGGAGAAGTTACAGGTCCTTCTTTGTGCCTGAGAATAGGTGGGGAACTTGGGTTCTCCCAAAAAAGGCAGGACTGAGTTTAAATCCTGGCCTTACTACTTGTTAACTGACTATAGACAGACAAGTTACTTAACCTCTCTGTGCCTCTGTTTTCCTTCTGCAAAATGGATGGGATGATAATGGTGGCACATACTTCAGACATATCAACATCAGAAAAGATAAGGTATGGAAAGTGCTTAGCTCACAGAAAGCACTCCACAAGTAATAGCTACCCTGTGCCTCTTTCTTGCCCCTTTGATCCTTCTCTGACAATTGATGAATGGCTCATAAAGTTGCCAAAAGCTCAGATCAGCCCCGGAAAAAAATGAAAAAAAAAGCAGGGTGTTCTAGGGCAAGGGGTGAGGGGCCCAGAGTCCAAACAGGTGAACATGGCATGTGGCTCCCGGTGGCAAGGGCTAGAGTGCCAAGATCTGCCAGCTGGGTCTGTGAACCTCAGGTAACCCTGAACTCTCAGAAAAGAGCTACATGACAGTTAGTGGTCATTTTTATTTCCTCAAATACAATTACAGATGAATTCAGCAGTTTAGGTCTCCCTTTGTGACACTGTTCCTACCATCTCCCTGACATCTGCTGGGGTAGGTTTCTTGGTGTGATTCCACAATGGAGTGGAACAGAGTCGCCACCACACTCATGTCCTGCAGGACTGGGACCTTTCATCTCTGAGTCAACAAGGCCTCCTTCAGATTCCATGACTTCTCCTCTTGCTTGGGAAGGAAGAACACAAACAGTAGTAACAGCAGGACATTTTCCTCAAATCAGACATCCAGAACATTGAATCAGAGAAGAAGGACAAGAAAATAATTGGATTACAGGAAGGGTGTTAGGGGAGATACAATTGGAGGCAACCAGTCAAATGCTCCCCACCTCAGTAGAAGAAATTAAGGATGTGAAAGCACTTGGCTCAGGCAAATAGGTCCTCAAGTGTTTACTGATGCTGAATCTGGAGGTTAATGGGGTGAAGAATCATCTTTCAAGGATAACTACTCAGAAGTCTACTCAGTGCTTGAGTCCAAGGAATCAGAGGACTGGCAGATCATATAGGTCTTGAAGATCAAAAGATAGGTTTCCTTGAACTTCTTTATTTTATAAGCATAGACAATAGGGTTCATCATAGAGTTAGCATGGGAGAGCAGAATGCCCAAATACAGTATAATCTGTGGCACCTCACCATGAAAGTACGTGATACAGTTGATGATAGATAAAGGCAGCCAGGAAAAAGCAAACAGGAAGAGAACCAGAAACAGGGACTTGGCCGTCTTGAACTCCCGTCCATAAAATGCACCTGTCTCTTTGGAGCTTGAAAAGTTCTGATTGAGTTTGTTCCGGATGACATAAAATATGTCAAGATAGATGGCACACATGACAACCAGGGGGATTAAGATCCAAGTGAAGAAGCTGAAGTAGACCATGTAGTCCATCCTCATGACAGAACTGAACTGGCACGGGAGGAAGGTGACATTTCTGTGCTGCTCTGAGGTCAGTTTCATGTTCCAGCCAAACATGGGGGTCAGTCCCACCAGGAAGGACACCAGCCAGCAAAGCCCCAGGGCCAACCATATTCTTCTTTGTGTGGTGACCCTCCTGTATCTGTTGGAATGGAAGAGAATGGGTGAGTTCATAGAATTGCTACAGGAAGGGGCAGGGGGTGACAGCAGCGGGGATGGGGATGGGGTGGGGACAGGGATGGAGAGTGCTGGCATTCCGGCAAACTTGTCTGGGGGACTTTTTAAAAGAAATATGATCAAGAATGGATTAAAAATACATTGCCGCACTCACAGCTCCATTTCCAGCCCAAGAATTCTTTGACTCCTGGGAGGTAGGAGTTTTCTAGGTCTCTTGGGACCTGGTGAGAAATGACCTATCTCCTCCAAGCACCTTTCCAGCAACACTCTGCCTTCTTTTGTTTGGCTGCTGTGCCGAAGCCCAGAAGTTATAACTGCCTCTCCACACTCCCCTCCACCTGCGCCTGCCCCTGCCTCTCTATTTGCACTGGCATCCACACTTGATATTTGAGTTACATGGGTCTGTGGAGGTGTGAAGGTCGTGTGGAAGTGCTTCCAGAACCTCAGATGACTCATCCACAGAGAAGCACCATCCTTCCTTCCGCCATCCTTCCTGACAACATCCCACACACAACACAAGAAGGAAACTGATTTTGTTAAGTAGTGACTGTGTACTTAGGAGACTTTATCTCAGTTAAATCTCACAACAAACTAGAGCTATTTTTATGATAATCTCCATTTCATTGCTGGTGATGGGTACAGATGACAGGAGTTGGAGCTACTATTGACTGAGCATAGACCGTGTGCAGGCATTTTTCTAAGAGCCTCACACGTGTGAACTATGTAATTACAAGGAAGTGGCAATATTTGTCCCCATGTTATAGGTGGAAAAGAAAAAGAAAGAAGAAAGAAAAGAAAAGAAAAGAAAGAAAAGAAAGAAAGAAAGAAAGAAAGAAGAAAGAAAGAAAGGGGGGCAATCCTGGTAACCTGTACAAGCTACAAGTAGCAGAGGTGAAATTGAAGCAAGGTAGATTTGTGTTCAGAGTATCTTAACCGCTATGGAAAGATGAGGAACCAAAGCAGTAAAAGTAACTTGCCCCAGCTCAGATATCAAGATCTGGACTTTGAAGCCCAGGATTTTAGTATCAAAAGCTTGTTTACAGCCTCCTCCCTGCATCTCTTCCCTAAGATCAGAGAGAAGGAGGGCAAGACAATTGTCACTCAGGACACCTGGGGAATGAGATGTCTCCATTAGGTGGTCCGTCCTGTTCACCTCATCACATTGCTACTTTCTGCAATGGAGAACTGTTTCTTGGTCCCCTCCTCAGCTTGGAAGAGGAAGCAAAGTCAAAATAACTTGAAAATAACCTACGTCTGCAAAGAACAGAAGCATCCGTTTATTTCTCTCCTCCTATTCTTTTCTGTCTGCTCCTTATTTTATCTAGTAGGTTTCTGTCATTTCTAAAACCCAAGAACATCTTTTACTAATTGAAGGTGCTCAAGCTTCCATCATCTTAGCTGCCCCGGGGGCCTAAGCGTACACCCCCATAGTCAGCGGAGACGGCCTGAGCACTCCTCTGTTCCCCAGTCCCAGCTCAACACTGTTCAAACCCTCACACACCAAATGGTGAAAAGAAATGTAGCTCCCTCTTTCAAGTTCATCGGCCAGTTTTGATTCGATTTCATTGAAGAAGCCCTGGGTCCCAGGCACCTCCATCACTGCCCCACACGGCCCCTCTTACCTGACTGTGAGCTTGACCCGCAGGTACCGGTCCACAGCAATGGCTAGCAGGGACATGATGGAAGCATGAGTGAAGATCAACAGCAGGCAGGTCATGAAAAGGCAGTTATAAAATTGGATTGTGATGCCCAGGCTGATGACAATGGCCAAAGGCATGACCAGCACCCCAACAGCAATGTCAGCAAGGGCCAGGGAGACAATGAAATAGAAGGTGGTGGTCTGTAGGCTGGGGTTCAGCTTGACCACCCAGATGACCAACACATTGCCCACGATGGCACAGAGCCCGATGAGAATCTCCACTGTGATGTAGGTGACATTGGCCAACAACAGGGCAGTGCCATTGACAGCCATCTTGCTTTCTCCAAGGAGCTTCCCAAGTAATAGGCGTGCTGACAGGATCCGTGTGGCCCGGTGAGCCTAGCTCTTGCCAGGCATCTCGCTAGAGGTTCAGGTGCAACAGCAACAGTCCCAAATTCACAACTTGCTCATTCCTTCTCTTCTCTGGTGGGACGCTCCCTTGGAGAGCCTCCCTTCTTTTCTTAGAGAGTGCCCATCTCAGGGCAATCATTTCCTGCCCCTTCATGGGCCACACACCCCTGGGCTCCCGGAAGCGTGGAGGACAGTTCTTTATGGGGTGAATCTGAAAGTGCCGTTCCTCTAAGTTCCCCAGATAGACACGCTCATAGCTTCTGCCTCCTGCCCCTCCTTGAGCTCCATCGAGATAAGCAACCTTCTTGGGGGGGGGGGGTGATCAGGAAGTGAGATGGGCCAAGAGGAAGCAGAGACCAGGAACACTCACAAGCAGATGAAAAGAGCAGAGGAGCAGTGTGAGTGGCATGGAGAAGGCTCGAGATCCATTCACTCTGGGACTGGATGGGAGTGTAGGCCTGGGTGAGAGAGCAGTGGAAGCACAGACTTGAATGTTCTGGCTTTCTGCTAGCTTAGCAGAAATATCCCGTGACACGGAGGCAAACGGGAGCCACAGGGGAACAAGAAGTAGATTTTGGTGGCAGCCTTAGCCAGAATTTATTGTTTTCTTAGTGTATGCTACAGATTGAATGTCTGGGTCCTTCCCCCACCCCACACAAAATTTGTATGTTGAGATCTGAGCCTGAAAGTGACAGTATTAGGAGTAGGGTCTTTGGGAGATGGCTGGGTCAAGGAGATGGAGCCATCATATGTGGGATTAGTGTCTTATAAGAGACACCCCACGGAGCTCCTTCACCCTTTCCGCCATTCAGGAACAAGGAGCTGTCTCCCACCAGACACCAGAGCTGCTGGCACCTTGATCTGGGGCCTCCCAGCCTACAGAATTGAACATTTCTGTTGCTTATAAGCTTCCCAGTCTTTGGTATTCTGTTACAGTTGCCTGAACAGACTGAGACAGTGCGTTAACAGCGAGCGCTGAGAATTGAGGGGCATGAGTGGACTCTTGGTCGGCACAGCTGGGATCCAGGTTCTGCATCAAAGATCCTTTGCTAAAGGAACAAGCTAAGAGCCCCTGCTTAGAGGGGCAAAAAGGCTTGGCACCTCCCATAAGCATATCTGCTGACTCTCCATTTCCCGGGTCAGCCCATACACCCACCAAGGTCTCACATTCCCTCAAGCCAGCAACCAGCTGGTGACAACTCTCTCTGAGGAACAACAGGACAACAGGATGATGGCCAGGCAGAGAGAAGGGAAAGAACCACACGTGCACACCGTCACACAGCGTACCCTCTCGCCACCACCTGCCGGAAATGAGGAACCCAACTGCTTTCCTGGAAGTTGTTCATCCGGTCTGCAGCTTCTGGAAACCAGACACTTAAAGGCAGTGGTCACTTAAGGTCCCTCTAGTTCAGGTGCTCTCAGTCCTGCCCCAAGGGGTTATTTACAGAGACAGCAAGAAAGGGTGGGTGGACCTGAGCCTGCACCGTGAACTGAAGGGTTTATGATATTTGCCTTAAATGCCAATCTATGTACAGCTCCAACGAAACCTTGACGCTACCAACAGTGTTGTTTACATCCTCGCCAGGGCCCTGGTGAGATGCCTCGGGATGTGGCCTCCACATCACCCTCTGCTCCCCCACCTCATCCCGGGTTGGCCCAGGCTGAATCCCTTGCTCATGCCTCTAGACTTGTCATTTCTCCCTGGGCTGGGGGACAGCCCTCTCCAACTGCATCTCTTTCACTCCAGCATTTTCCAGCGCTAACTCTGCCTGCATCCAGCAGGGCTTCTCATCAAAGTTTCTACCGCCATTGCTTTTTTATCTCTGCTTCAGAGAAGGAAGTCACAGAGACCCATTTCTAGAAGGCTGCATGCCACCCAAAGAAGTTGCTCTTGGCCTAAAGCAATTGTTGAATCTTGGTGGCAAGCTGTAAACGATGGACCCTCCCGGCCTGTCCCTTGCCACCGGCTAGCACCAAACAGCCCTATGTGAGAGAGAGACTCTCTTGGTATAGGGACAAGTCCTGTTGCCTGGTTGGAGCAAAAATACAGCAATGGGGTGGTTTCCTGGGGGCTTTGGCCACTCCAAGTCTGCCTTACAGCCTTGTTCTGAGTTTGAGAACTGGTCAGACAATGGACAGCTCCCATACTTAGAGAGGAAGAGAGAGAGATAGGGGCCTCTGCGTGGTTATGGGCCAGAAGCTGGGCAAAGGGGGAAAGGTGGCAGAGGCCAGGAAAGTGCCTGAGCCATGGATCCAGGCATAGGAAGTGGACCGAGGCTTTGGGGAAGGACTGGACAGCTGCAGCTGGAAACCTGACTGGTGTGTTTGCTGATTCTTGGCCCTTTCATCCTCCGTTAGGACCTAGGTGAGTCCTTTTAGGACTAGCCCATCTTGGCTTGGTTAGAGAAATCAAGGAGAGGGCTTTGTGACCCAGCACCATGACAGGAGCAGTGTGGTGGGTACAGGATAGCCTGTGAGAAAGTAATTCCAGGAGAAAAGGATAAGCGGGGGGACGGGGGGGGGGGGAGCACTCTTGGGACCTGACCTAACCACCTCTTCCCAGCAGGGAGTTCTCTGGAAATTCGTCTCCATGAACAAGGGAGGCCTGAGCCCACTCCCACTCAGAGGGGTGACAAGAAGGTTGAACAGAGAGGTTTCCAGTTACTTTGCAATTAGGCCTAGGATTGGGCCCTGAGCCAACTTTCCACTCCAGATGGAACAGCAGAAGGCAGCCTGGAGAAGAGGACAGAGAGGCCAGGGCAGATGGTCATCTTGCTTACCACCAACCCCTCCCCCTCCCTAGATGCCCCACAGCTGCTCTTGGGTAACTTCCTTCATCTGTCATGGAGGGACCACCTCAGCCTCCAGAGGCATCTCCAGATGCAAGTCCCCCAACAGCCTCTGTGCAACCCTTAGGATCGAGTCCAGCCTCCCTGGAATGGCACATGAGACCTTTCAAGGCGGGAGTCTCCCAGCCTCTGCAGCCTCCTCCCCCCTGATACCACAAGCACCGTGGGTCCCCCTCCCCCCTGATACCATAAGCACTGCCATGCTTTCACTTCCTCTCTCCTGTGCACCCGGCTTGGAAAGCCCTTCTCCCCATGTCTACCTAGAACACATGCACTCTTTCTTCAACACTATTCTCAGACAGGACCCTGAAGAGAACTTCCCAGACATCCCCTCCCTGCGCTGTGTTTATCGGGCCCTCCTCCTCTGTCATCCTGCAAGCTCCTGAAGCATAGGGCTCTCGACTTTTCATTTCTAGCCCTACCACAATGCCTGGCGGATTCATGTGCTCCAGTATATTTTTTGATAAATGAACGAGTAGGAAAGCACCTCAGTGAACCAGGGGGCATCAGCTTGGCACTGGGTATAGAATACCAATAAATCAGCTAGGACCTGCTAGGTATGTTCCCTTATGCCATCTGCAGTGTTGGGCACTTCACTTACTTTCTTAGTCTTGTTCAATGCTCTCTGATGAAATTGATAATGTAATCAAAGCTGAGCAGACTAGGTTCAGAATGGTGACATAACCTCCCTAGGGTTGCACAGCTAAGAAGTGGCGGAGCCGGCATTCAAACCCAGGCCTCTGGTTTCAGGAAATGAATGGGCAACTGAACAACCACATGAAGCTTTTACAAGTACAAGGCATCTGTGGACTTGATGTTGCCATATCCTCAACATGACGTTCTAACCTCACACCTGGAAAAGAGGTGACCAAGCCTGTGGGAACAGAGCACAAGTACAGTGTAGGTCTAGCACCTGCTCTGAATCACAAAGAAGTGGAGGAGCCAGCAGGCCACTTGGCAGGGCCCCAAGGAGAGCTCTGGGATAGAAAGAAAACTTTCACTGGACCAGAGTATCAAAATATTTCTTTAATAATAAAATCAACTAGAAGTAAGAAGTGGCTCAGGGAATTTCCCCCATCTAAAAGAGTTGTGTCTGTTTTAGTTTTACAAAAAGAACCCGAGCTCCATGGAAGAGGCAAGGATCAGGGAGGATCCATCAACCCGAACCACAGGAAGTGTCTGGAGTCCCTAGGAAAGGCCTCACCTGTCCCGAACCCAGGCCTGACGCACCTGGACATAGCTCAGCCACAGGACTGCAACCTTGCCCTTGGGGTTCTGCTTAACATGGTGAGAGGCTGGCCAGAGAGTGCTCATCTGCTCCTTTGCAGCTGCTCAGACAAGCCTGGAAGAGCCCCAGCAACCACCCCGCACCAACAGCCAGATGCTGTGTGAGCAGGATTGCGGCTGAGGGGGCAGGCACGGGGTGGGGTGGGGTGGGGGGCACTTCAGAGCAGCAGTCCAGGCGGTCACCGAGACAGGATGGTGGGCAGGTGGGGGGTGGTCGTTTCTGCCCGAGGCTGGCTCACGCTGCCTCCCCTGCTGCCTGTGGAGTTGCGCAAAATCAGTTTGTTCACTTCCTCTTGGCCCCATTACCACTTCCGCAAAGCTTTATATTTTTACAAAGCTTTGTGCTAGCTAGCGGCAGAGGCTTCGAAAGAGCAAGATGGCCAAGAAGGTGGCCTCTCCCAGCACCCCTCCTTTCCCTGCTTCAGTCAGCCAGGAGGAGGAGGCTAGGCCCTCAGGAGCCTTCCTCCAGGACCGATCCAGAGCCACTGTCCCCAGGGCCCAGTGACTTGAGCCCAAGGAGCCAGGGACTCCTGAGGCCTACAGCCGGAGTTCAAGAGACCCACTCAGAGCCAGCCCAAGGGAGAAGGGAAAGATCAAGCTTCCTTTACTCTGAGCGAGAGAAAGTCCTGCACAGCAAAGCGGAACTCCTTGGTCCAACGTCCTGCCCACCAGGGCCCCCAACCCCACGTGCCCTGATGGAGAGTCCAGAGCAGGCTCCAGCCAGCTCTGGGTTTTCACAGGCCCCAGGCACTCACAAAGCACGGAGATGCCCCGCGTACAGAGTGGCAGCGGGTCCAGGCTTCCTGCACCGGCTCGGTGTCCGCCGGGCTCCCGCTGAGCCTCTGCCGGGCGCTGTGCTCGCCGCGGCCGCCAGGTGGCAGCACACCCCCACGGCGCCCCCAGGGGCAGCGGGGAGGCCGCAGCGCCCGCCCCCTGCGAAGGCGGCTGCCCCGGCGGCGCGGGGCCCCGAGGGCTGAAGGGCAGGGCGGGCGGAGGCAGACGGCCCGCTGCGGGGTCCACGCCGACGCCGCGGCCGTTGCTGGGCGACACCGAGCGCGGTCCTCGACTCAAAACGGTCGAGGAGCTGCTTCGACCTCCGGGGTCGCGCGTATTCCAGGGAAAGCGGCGGCGGCGGCGGTTTCCCTCGGGTGTGAGGCCGCGCCCAGGCTCCGCTCCGCGCGCCCCCGCAGGAGGAACCGAGGCGGGGGGCGCGGGCCGCGGGGGCTGTGCGGCTGGTCGCAGGTGCGGGGGCTCATCTCGGCGGAGGCCGGAGCGGGCCAGGCGGGGCCGCGCAGGGCGTCCCCCGGGATTGCAGCTCCCCCGCACCCCAGTTGGGCCCTCGGCACCCGCCCGCCTCTGGCCAGCCCTCGCCGCCCGGTCCCGTGGGCAGGGACCCGGACTTCCGCGTCACCCCCCCCTCCCCCCAACGCCTGCACACCCCGCGCCTGGCTTCTAACCACTCAGCCTGGTGTCTCCCAAACCCCAGACAGGCCTACAGGCCTCGGGCCACCGCAGGGCCACCGCAGGGCCCGG